CCACAATTGTACTTTGTACATTGCAGTGGGTAAATGTTCGTGTTTCTCTATGACAGCGGGATTACACACCTGATCAGGCCCACACTGCACCAGAAAGATCACTGCACAATGAAAAAAGGCAACAATAACAATATCAGTAACAATAAAAACACCTCTACACAGTCTTTTTTTCTTTTGATTTCTTCTTATATGCGCACCAGGCAGGATTAACCACAACAACTAATGATGCAGATCTCCATTAGTTTTCCTCTGCTAGTGCTGAAGCCCACTGGCTCCCAAGGGAAAGTGGATGGTGCTCGCTCAAAGGTGGATGAATCACTGGGGAAATTTGGGTACAGTTCTGACTTTCTTTAGCGCGCACACCCAAGCCGTTTGGGCAAATATAAGGGAGGAATTATATAACTACAACCGGAAACCGCAGAGACAACTGATATTTTAAGGGAATTAGCCACCAGGCATAACCTGAAATAAACATAACTATTTTTCTAAGGAGGACACAAGCACCAGCAGCAAACAGAAACTTCTCTGGGAACATCGAAAACGACACTTTCAAAGTAGTCTTGTAAGGTATCACGTTGCATAACATCTTCGGGGTCGTGTCGTGTCCACCCGCCGTACCAGCAGGACAAACACGCCGCATGAACTCTTAATGCCAGCGCCTCTTTAACCTAACGTGTCACCTGAACGCACCGCGACAATAACCGGATTACAATTTGGCTTCCCACAAAATGTCGAAATTCCCATCAAGTCGCTCTCTTTGCAGGTCTAATGAGTCATGACATTAACTGAGCCTAAGGTTGTTCCTCCCACGCCCCTCCAGCCCACTCCTCTCTTTATTTAAGGCGCTCCTCTGCTGCAACACTCAGAGCAGCAGGCGCACAGTCAGCGCAGCTCTCTCCTGCCGCCGCGGAGGGACGAGAGCTCCAGCTTTGTCACGTTTTCCCGGATTTACCCGTCAGCTCGTCACGATGAGACTTGTTCCAGTCGTGCTGGCGGTTACGGCTCTGTTGACAGGTAGGTGAAAGAGTTATGCCTTTCTTTTTATTCTGTTTTTTCACCCCTTTTTTGTTGAGTGCTGTGCAATAAGTTTCTTCAGGACCATGGACAGAGACGCCATCGATTCCTCAGATTCGCTACAAGCAAACTATTCGCTTATCAACCTATATGTTTAACACAGATACATTTTTTTAAATTATTCCAATGCAGGAAATCTTGCGCTTCCAGTTGGTAAAGAAGAGCAGAGAGAGGATGTGGTATGTTTTTCGATTCGTTGCTTTTTAATCAAAGCATTTTCTGTGCAAAGATCTATATTGTTATTTAGCTCATTTGATTTTTCCAGGTAACACGATGTTTGGTTGAAGTTCTGTCCAAAGCTCTCTCCAAACCGGACTCTCAGGTCGATCAGCAATGCAAAGACATCATCCAAGCAGGTCTGTGGCACAAATGATCGGTTGGATAATTCCAGGATTGTTATTATTATTTATTTTTTTAACCTTCAGACGGGTAAAACAGCACTCAGAGCGCAAGTGAGAAGCTCAAAGCTTTGAGCAGGTATAAAATCAGGCAGCATTACATTAAAAATGATCATAGTTTTCACATGACTTCTCTAAAAAAAAGTAGTGCTGATTTCCTCAGATCATTATTCTTTTGATCTAAAGGTTAAAATTCCTCTACAAATCCATCATAACTTGCACCTGTGTAGCTCTTTGTGGATTGTTTATAATATTTCTTTTGCTCTGTCACAGGTATTATACATGCCCCGTTGGACAAGAAGAGTGGGGATGGCTCAGTAACTCATGAAGAGATAGTCAAAGTTCACGCAGAGCCAGTGGCAAAGGCAGCAGATGTGAAAGACATCGAGGAACTCCTGAAGTCTGTGGAAGAAAAAAGAGAAAACCCAGAAGATGAGCGCAGCCAAGAATCCTGGAGTCTGGGTGATGAGAAGGACAAGAGACATGAGAACGATGTGGAAGAAGAACGGGAGAAGAGGAGCAGCTGGAGGCCTGGAAGATTCCACCAAAGAAGGCACAAACGAGGAGAGGAAGAAGAGGATGGCGAGCGCAGCCAAGAGAGTTGGGGAGTAGATGAAAAGAGGTCAGACGATGAGGAAGAGGAAGATGAAGACAGAGAGAAGAGGAACTGGAGGCCTGGAAGATACCACCAAAGAAAACACAAACGAGATGAGGAACCTCTAGGAGAAAACGAGGTAGATGAGGACCGTAGCCAAGAGCGCTGGGAAGCAGACAAAAGGCACGGGGATGAGAATGAGGAGGAGAGATACAAACGCATTTGGAAACCTACACATCGCTATCATCACAAGAAAACACCCCACAAACGCAGCAATGAGCCATCAGAGGGCGAGGAAGATGGAGAACGTAGCCAGGAGTACTGGGATTTTGATGCCGGAAGAGATAAGAGGAACTGGAGACCTGGCAGGTACCACCAGAGGAGACACAAACGAGATGAAGAGCTGTCAGAAGAAGCCAAAGAGGAGCCAGAAGAAGAACGCAGTCAGGAAGACTGGGATTTTGACACTGGAAGGGAGAAGAGAGAATGGCGGCCTGGCAGGTACCACCAGAGGAGACACAAACGAGATGAGGAGCTGTCAGATGAAGCCAAAGAGGAGCCAGAAGAAGAACGCAGCCAAGAAGACTGGGATTTTGACACTGGAAGAGAGAGGAGGAACTGGAGGCCTGGCAGGTACCACCAGAGGAGACACAAACGAGATGAGGAGCTGTCAGATGAAGCTAGGGACGAACCGGATGATGAACGCAGCCAAGAAGACTGGGATTTTGACACTGGAAGAGAGAGGAGGAACTGGAGGCCCGGCAGGTACCACCAGAGGAGACACAAACGGGATGAAGAGCTGTCAGATGAAGCTAGGGATGAACCGGATGAAGAACGCAGCCAAGAATACTGGGATTTTGATACTGGAAAAGAGAAGAGAAACTGGAGACCCGGCAGGTACCACCAAAAGAAACACAAACGAGATGAGGAGCTCACAGAAGAAGACGCGGAGGCGGCAAAGGACAGAGACGCAGCTTTGAGGTACTTCAAATATTTTTTTCACATCAAACGACTTCTACTGTTAAGTGTCGCAGGTTCATTGCCTGCAATCTGGAGCACAAAATACTGCAGATTACTGTAAGAACAGAGAATAAAAGCCAAATCTCACAAATGAAACATGTGCTGCCATAAAAAACGAATAAATAAGAAGAAGTTGGTAAAAATCTAACCATTTTTCAGATATCTTGCTGAGAAGCGCAATCCCTGGATTTACCGAGGCTTCTACCACCCAGCCTGGTTTAAAAGGGATTCAGAAGAACACACTGCAACCTCAAACAAGGTAAACATGAGGTTGTGACAATACAGCGTTTGACTGAAGATAATCAAATGCATATGACTGCTCTGTGTGCTACATCAAAGAGCGCTTAGTTTTGACATTTTTCAACAGAATGTTACTTCACCCAGTCTGAAGTCACTGTATATTTTTGTAGACACATAATGTGTTTTTTTTCCCCTTTTTGTCTGTTCAGATGGATGAACTGACCAAGTTGCTGAGCTATAAGATAAACCAGCTGGCTAACCACTCTCCTCAAGAGGAGGCAATGAGGAGCTCACAGCAGAGAGCACTTACACCACAGGAGGTACAAAAAAAAAAAAACAACAACAACTATAAAAGGCTGCATTCACAAGTGCAAAAAAAAAGTGTTTTATGCCACTGATGAAGACTGAAAATTAGTCTTGGAATCACGTCTGTCACTTATACTGATGATCAGAAGGGTTCAGACAACAAACAGGTAATTTAATATTACAAAAAGTCAGTTCATCCAAAAAACGCAAACTGATAAAAAAAACCACACTGCACTCTGCAGCTGTTTCTGTAAACTATTTGCACCACATTTAGCTGACCTAGTAAAACCACGGAGCGCATCACACACCTCCACCGCACCGCTTCACGAGGAGAAAAAGCAGCTCGTCTCATTAGGGACATCTCTAGCCTGCACCGTGATCCTGGGATTTATCCTTCAAAAAGCTCAACGCATCTGTGCAAATGCACATCAAGAGCCGCCCCTTGTGAGCATGTCCTCAAAACATAAAGGAGAATCTAACCAGTGCATTCATGAGCAGCGACTCGTCTGGCTTGCTTTGAATCTGCGTGCTGACTTCCTCACAACGCTTCTTTTTTTTTGCTCTCCCTGCACCAGCGTTTTATGAGTGCTGCAGTAATCACAGTAAGAACCACATGACTGCAGCTTCTCAGAGCAAACAAAGTTATAATATACCCATTAAAAAAAAAAGAACTAGAGCCTACAGAGACCTCCCTGTCTTTGAAGCAGAAAAACAAATTAGGGAGGCGATGGCATAATGATTTATTAGTTCTTCAGCAATGCAACAAGCATGACGAGGGACTAGTTAACCTAAATGACCAATTACAATATTTTATTTGAAGCAGGCACAGGGTGGCGGGGGAAATAGAAGGAAATGTATGATCATTCAGTCCTGATTTCTATTCCAAATGTGATGCTGTTCCAGCAGGAAATGTTGGTAATGTGTTAATCTGTGTTTTTCAGGAGAAAGAGCTACAGAACCTGGCAGCGATGGATATGGAGTTGCAGAAAATTGCAGCCAAGTTGCATGAAAACACTGCATAACTGAAAAAAAAAAAAAAAAAGTTGCAATTTTACTGTATGTCTCCCAGTTTAGTGTGCTTGCAGTGTTAAAATGAAGAAAAAAAACAACCCTGGAGCCTTGCCAAAGCATTTTAGCTGAGTTTTCGTTTTTGTGATATTTTGATGTTATCAAATCAAACAGCATGGGAATGGCTTGGATGTTTATATTCAGAGAAATGTAAAAACAATATATACATATATGAGATCATAATTACTTAAATGTGTTCTGCAGAGTTTGTTCTGACTGCACTCAATAAACAGTTATTCTGGGACCAAACCAACATCTCTCCTTTATTTATTGAAGAAAAAACGTGGTCACACATTTGGTTCTTTTAGTACTGCTTTTTAATGTGCAGGTAGAAATGTAGCCCGCAGTAAAGCTGCATCAGCAACTGTTTCATAAAACAAATGGCAATTTCTGCAAGAATAACAAAATAAAATAAAAGCAAGTTATAACGTAGAATCTGGAAAGCATAAAAAAAACAAACTTTTACTTGTCTCAGGACAAAAACAACCAAAGCTGTTACTCTCGACACACAAACTATAAACTGGCTAACAATTTACTCCTCATCTCCACTGATGTGAGCACACCCGGCAGGAAAAAGTGTTCTGATGAATACAAACCAGACACTCGGTCTCCCCTTACTACTGATGGTGTCAAATCAGTTCAACAGCACAGGAGGAAAAAAAATCCCTACAGGCCTCTGGGAATGTGCCCTTAAAAAGATTTGATGCTTCTGTATTTGTTTATCCCTCCGTGTCTTCCAGTTTCTGTCTCTTTGGCGCTGGTTCTTCAGCTTGCTTAGAGCCTGCAGGTTTCGAGTGGTCCGTGGCAACGGTCGTCCCTGAGAGGAGGTAGCCCCCGCCCCCGCTCATTAGTAGCAGAGGATGTGTCCTGTCAGGCAACACCTAGGGACCAAACAGAGTCTCAGTCAGGAGACATTAACTCTGCAAGAATGGTTAGAGGGTGAATAACACTTTGGTCCTGAGAGTCTGCAAACATGCATTTATCTAGTTGCTGCTGCTTAGTATCCAATTCTGTAAGAAGCAATAGGAATGAAAAGGAATGCAAAATAAAGAAAAACAAAAGTAGGGAGTCTAATAATTTATCAAGAGTAGTGGCAATTAATGTAATGTAGTGATGCTCCCAAATGTAGAAGGATTTTATAAGTTAGTCCAAAGTAAAGTGTTTAGAAATAAAAGAAGCTTCAACAGGGATAATCAGCAACATCCCCGTGTTCTAATTAATTCAATGCTTGCAGTTTCTAAGCGGAGAATTCGATTCTTTTCTGGATTGTGTCATTACACATTGTGAATACTTATGGTTAAGCAATAGATCCTGGTGGGACAACAACCAATGAATCGAAAGATAATAATCCACAATTATTAATTTGGGCAAATATATTGGGCCACACCTCTTCATCTTTGAATAAAGGTGTCCCATGTCCACATGTGTGTAAAAATCAAGCACCTAGCCATGCAGTCTGCATTTACAGACATTTGTGAAAGATCGGGTCCATCTACACAGTGTTTCAAAAGGTCTCAACGTTTATACATCGCTGCTATCATCAATTTGAGCACGACACTGTAACAGGATGTTATCGCAGCAAAAAGTTTGGGGAATTTATTTCTTGTTCGGCTGTAAGTGTGAAAATATTTACAAACCAAAGCAATTCAGCCACAAAGTGGAAGTCCATGTAACATTACAGACTGCTTAGGCAGACAGTGTTAAAAAAAGCCTGGAGTTCCAAACCTCCTCTGACATAAACATCAGCACAAAACTGTGTGCTGGGAGCTCCAGGGCATGGATTTCCATAACCGAGCAAATGAGCTTCACATCACCAAGCACAATACCAGCGGAGAGGTATAAAGGTGCCAACACTGGACTCTGGAGCAGTGTTCTGTACAGTGACAAATCACACTTTGCTATCTGGTGGTCTGATGGGTGGGTTTGGGCTCCCTGCCTGTCTGTTTTGTTAAATTTGTAAAGTGTGGTAGAATAATAATAATGCCATGGGGTTGTTTTCCTGGATTGGCCTGCCCCTCTTTGTTCCAGTAAAGGAAAAGCTGGAATGACCCTTTTCTGTTGCAGCATGATTGTGCCCCAGTGCAGAAAGCAAAGTCCATAAAGGTACGGCTGGATGAGATTAGTGTGGAAAACTTCAATGGCCTGCGTAGAAGCCTGAACTCAAGCTCACTAAACACCTTTAACGTGATCTAGTATGAAAACTATGGGTCAGGCCCTCACGTTGAACATCAATATCTGAGCTCACAAATCTTCTGGATGAGAGGGCAGCAGTTCCCACAGACACACTCCCAAATCTTCTTTAAACTCGGTTTTTATTGTTACCATCTACTTTTTTAGTACCTGCTCAGTTGGGGGTCCAAGCGGTATGAGTCAATGGGAAAGTGTAATGTCAACTCTGTATGCCACAGACTATCCAGTCAGCGGCAGCACTTAATTAGTCATGAGAGCAATTCCTTCACAAAAATCAAAATAATAACAAAAAAAAGTAGCAGTTGAGTCGAGTTGAGCAGAGCCGATGCTAATGGAAAAGAGGTAATTGTCTAGTTAACCTAAACAGTGATAAAGCAGTTAGCTGTGCTGATTTGAGTAATTATTCCCTGTTGCTTGTTGACTATGAGCCACCTTCATTATACTTTGATTATAGAATAGCTTCAAATGCAAAAAAACAGAAAGCACACACAGTGCAGAGTCCAAATATTTACCTGGTAATGTCTCAGCCAGGTGTCTGTGAGTCTGAGGTTGACTGTGCCGCCACATTCCTTGAGTTTCTTGAAGCACTCTATGAGAGGCTGCGGAAATCAACATAGAAAATATGACAGATTGCTCTTTCTAGCAACATGGGCATGAAGGAAGTTAATAAGTTCAAGCAACCTCTTGGCAGTGATAATGCCCATTGCATTCATGTGGTATGGCAGCCCCCCCCATTGGATGTCTAACCAATACAAGCCTGACTACAGTGGCAACTAATGAGAGATCTCACTTATTAGCTTTGTTCTGTACGGGACATGGAAGATCTTACCTCTATATACTGGGAATAAACTACAAAAGGCCTGGAGGGTGAGAGGAATTTGAGCAGGCCCAAAAGGACGGGACAGGGGTGAAACCGGCTCGATATAACCAGCCTGCAGGTGAAGAAGAGAGAGATGATTAGGCAAACAAGCCTAGTATGAAATACACTGTCAGCTGTACAGGAAATGCGTAGGTAGGCAATACAGCAATTCAGTAACTAATGCTGCATGCAAGACATTAACGCAAGACTCAAGGATTTAGTACCTTCCTGTAGTAGACATTCGTACTATATTTCAGAAAGCTGAACGAGACAGCGAGTCAAAAAGGGTGATTTAGGACAATGTGATTATCATAAAGCAGCAGTGATTTAGAGGGGAATCAATAGGGAAACAAGCTCAACACTTGTATTCCAGTCTCAGATGTCACCTTGATAACAATTTATCCATCAGTCACAAAACAACTATAAGGCGTTCTTCACTTTATATGAGAGGAAGCTGCTGAGCAATCAATTTACTTACCCCGTAAAGGGCAATGTACAATAGTCAATATGTGTGTGCTCAGAAGAAACAAATAATTTCTAATGACTTTTATGGAGATAGTTAATGACACTATAATCATTCATAAATTTCTCATCCCTGTGATCTACTGTAATTGCTTCTTTTTTTTTTTCTTTTTTTTTTAAATGACCTGGTTGAATATGGAGTAATTTTTAAAAAGGCAGAGCCGGAGCGGAGAGAGGTGGATGTTAGAAAGAGCGGGATGAGAGACAGAAATGTCGATGTAGGAATAAAATCAGACACCAACCCGTCGGCATTCCTTCCTTTCAGCAGGGCGGCGGTAGCTGCCAGCTTCCTCTGCTTCTCCTCTAGTCTCAGCTTTTTCACTTGAGCCTGTAGAAAACAAACAAACCCTGAGGTCAGGAAACCATATGATAGTATGTGTACTGTTGAGAGTCATCAATGATGTGTCAGCATCATTGATGACTGTATCCAGTTGTTTAGTGATGATATATTACCCGTCCAATAATACTATTTATGCTGCCTTTTAACTTTGGCCCTGTCAACAAATGCTACTGTCATCCTTGTTCGTTTGTTTTTTTAAATAGTTTTAAGACTTCATGTGTTTTTACATCCATTGTTTTTTGGTTATGGTCTGAATTAGTAGATGAGTATTTAGACATGTAGTTTTTTTTGTGTGTTTTAGTTTCTTTTCACTCAGCTAATCCTCCAAGTGAACCAAAGGTGCCACCACAAACCACATGAGAACGAGACAATAACATGGAAAATTCATCCCTCATACTTTTATGTATTAATACACATCTATGTTATGTATTAATAGTACAGCCGAGAATGCAATCCATACATGGCTACAGAAACGACTCAATCTTGCAGTGTGCCCTTGCGAGTTGGGTCGGATCACGTTGTCACCATAAAGAAACTGCTCTGGAATTAGTTTGGAACTGAGACCACCTCCTCCAAAGGGTCTCCGTATGATTGCTTTAGTCTGCACACGAGCATGATTACAGTGTCCACATCTGTACTGATTAACTGCACCAAAGAGGAATACTGTCCAGCCAACAGAATTTTTATTATGCAACTTACGCAACCAAGCATGCAGTGCCATAATATTGTGCTGTGGATGGAAACTCTGTCATCTAACTTAACTTCACCAACCTTCAAAAACCTTACCGGCACTTATTTACTCATGTTCCTTTTTTGAGTCCAAAGTGACAGGAGGCTGGTATATTTTTGTTTTTTAGGACATGAATCATCTTTAGATGTCGAGTACCTCACTAGCTTAATGATAACTACTGCTAAATCTGCACACCCATACATATCTTCTTTGCCATGAAAACATGGAAGCCACATTTGACTGTCTGTGCAACTTCTATGAAGTCAGAGTAGCAACTTCATAGCAGCATAAAGAATTGGGAGTATTTACTCTAAATGGTGCATCTGTGTTTGCTTCCTTTTATGAAGTGAGACTAGCAGGCTAGCTCCTGTTCCTGATGACAACAAAACTAAGAGGATTGAGGGGGAAAAAGGAAAATGCATGAACGCTGGACACACCTTGGCTTCTTTGAGTTTATCCTTCTCCGTTTTCTCCACGTCCTGACCAGCATCATCACCAGTGTTGGTCACCATGCTCTCCTCCTCTGGAGTGCCTTGCTCTTCTGCCTCAGGCTGGTTTTGCTTCTTCTCTGCAGCCAAGTTCAACTGCTTTTCATGAGTATTCTCTGAAATGATAAATCTTTGTCAGCGTAACATTGAACACCATAAAGTATGATTCAGTCTCTTGAATCATACTTTACGGGTCAAGTTAGATTTAGGTTATTGTTTTACTTTCTGAACTACTGAATTAAACGTTTTCTGTATGCTCACGTGAACAAATGAAGATCAAACGGAAGAGAGAAGCTATACTTCTACATCTGAAACTAAAGGGGTGTAACTATCTTGAAAAGACTGTTTAAAAAAAAAAAAAGGCGAGTTTTACCAGCAGTGGGGTCTTTGGCACTGGTGTCCAGAGTTCCTGCCAAGAGAGCGTTGACGTGGCAGATGGGAAACTCATGCAGCGTGTCGTGAAAATGCGCAGGAAAGCCAAAATTCTCCACTCCCGCCCGCACTGGCCCACCCCCTGGGTACATTTGGATCACTGATCCGTAGCCTGGATGAGGAGGAAGCAAAGAGTATTTATTCAAAAGATCAAGGAAAAGATGTGTGCAAGAAGAACAAAACAAACAAGAAAAAAACCTTAATAACTGCACAGAGAAGAAGAAACTTGCCTCCCATTCTTTCCATGATGGATCCCAGTACAAGCCCAGCACAAGTCTCAAACACCAACACCTTACTGCCAGCGTGGATGTTCGCCAGAGTTAGCATCTGGGCAAGTGTGTCATACCGCAGGTGGCTGCGGCACATGGAAATATTTGTTTCATGTAGACATCTTACAGCTATTTAAAGAAAACACACTTACTGATAATTCATGTGCTGACTCACCAGATCTTCCCTGGTTCGCGGCCGTGGTACATCATAGCCAGGATGCGACAGGACGGTTTTAGAATCATCACCGTATTTTCATACCTGCAAAAGACGGGAACAACCGATAACACTAATTAAAACACAGCTCGTTAAATAACAGTCCAGAACAGGCTGTGGCTGTATCATCATAAGTGACTCACTTTTTCTTCTTCTTCTTGATGTATTTAACCTGGGAATACTCAGTCTTATCTCCGAAAGTGGCGTGGTTATCTACGAGCTTCTTAATGATGTCCTGTGATGACCAAACACACATACAGTCGCTCGTCTCACTTTATGTTGGAATACAGCAATTTAATTAAATCCTAAAAACACAATGTTCCCACGAAAAGACAAAAACACAATGTGTTCTGTCTCTTTATTTTCCTACAACTTTGCTATCATGTATGCGGGACTCAACGCCAAGCCTGTTGGTTCCCATTTAAGATGTGCAACCACTAAAATCTATTTTAAATAAATATGTCATATGTTTAACTGCTTGTTTACACAAGTCTCTAAAGCAGTAACTCATTTAGATGTGTGCTAAAGTCTTATGCCACCCCCTATTTCTTTACATTGTGCTAGGAAAATGGGGGAAAAGGTGCAGCACTTTATTGAAAAATCTTCAAGCATACATGAAAATACTATATATATATAAATCAGAAATCGACAATTCTAATGACCAGCCTCAACTCTCTTAGGCAGCTTTCTTGCAATGTCTTTAAGTAGTCTTCAGGAACAGTTCTCCAGGCTTCTTGAAGGACATTCAAAGCTTTTCTTTGGACCTTGACTGCCCTTTGTCCCCTTGTCTGTCATGATGATCCCACACCAACAAAGTTGAGGTGCAGGCCATGACTGATAGTCTTCCATTCTTTGCATTTCTATCCAGGTTACTTCACTGGCACTATGTTTGGGATCCTTATCAAAATGAAGCTGCTGCAAGATCCTCAACACTACTGGCTGAAATGCAGTCCCAAACCATGACAGAGCCTCCACTGTGTTTTACAGATGGCCATAAACACTCCGTGCTGTACCACTCACCTGATCTATTCTGTTCTTATTTAGGAATATCAGGATTCATCGTTCCATGAGACTTATCGCCATGGATTCTCAGTGCAGTTCTTCTGTAATTTGGCATTCACAAATTAGAAGTGGACTTGTGAGATTTCGTTAAGGAAGTATTTCCTTCTGTAAAAATAGCTGCTGTTCCACTGAGATCATTTCTGATGAGGCTTCAGTAAACAGTGAAAGGATCAGCTGAATGGCCAAATGAATCTCTCAGGTCCCGTGTCATGACTTTACAGGATTTGTTCCCATTTCTTTATGACATGACTTTCACATAATGTTCATTGGCTTTAGATAGTTTTTCAGGTCTGCCTAGCTCTTAAGGCATCCCCTTGTTGGTGCAAAAGTACTATTATCAGTATTAACCGAGTTACCTTCTGTATTTTTCATATATTCAATTAAAGTCATCAATTAGAGATACTGGTCAACATTGGTTTTCCATCCAATTTGCAATGAAAAAAAAAGTATTTTTTTACCATCACTCTGTAGGATAACAACTATAGGCAGTACTCTGACACATTTAAATGTGAAATTGTAAAGTTTCACATGTACCTGACCCTTCAGACCTTTCTCTTTAAGAGCCTCAATGTCATCCCTGGTCAGCTTCTGTGATTTGCCATCGTCAACAATGTTTCTGTTGTCTGTACCTGCCTCCACTGCATCTGGGAGGCACAAACAAGCACACAAAGACACTACTGTAAGTAAAAGGTTATAGGCGGTAGAAAGTCTATGACATATTTATTTGGGTATAGAAGGTGGTCGTCACAAGTCCAAATGCAACTGGTAGCATAAAAGAGTCAGTTGTATATCTGAAAATATGAAAAAGACTTAAGATTTAACAGCAGGTTACACACCAAGGGGGCTTGCAGTGTCCTTGAGCTCATGTGGCTTTAGATTTCCTCCAGACAAAATTTCAAATGTGGTGCTGTACAGCTGTCCCACTGCATTATCGAGGAAGATCCACTGCTTCTCAAAAATCACCTTTCTAAGAAAGACAGAAAGAGCAGTTTGTTAGTATAATCTGCATAATACATCTCACTGCACACATGCTTTGATCTGAAAATAACAAATGAACACAAAAGCATCTTATGTGAGCTAATCCTCAGTCTGTGCTTCTCGTAAAAATATTATGATCAGCACAAATTCAGTGAAGTATTTAAGGTGGTTAAAATGCTTCTATCTTCCTTTAAAGCTGTCAACTTACTTCCTCGGCTGAATCTGCACAGCTTTGAAGATTTCCCCTCGTTTCAACACAACGTAGTCACCCTCTTTAATTCTGTACTGATTATCATCGTCTCCGTTGTCCGCCATAACGAAGCTCATAAACGAGCTAACTAGCTCAGCTGAACGATAAATGTTTTTCTCAGCTAATGATTCGGGGTCTTCGCTGTCAAGGCACAGTTCAAAAAGGAACTACACTACCCTGCATAAATAGCAAAATATCCCAAATTAATATTTCCACGTGTTAGCTTTCACTTCTCTAGCTTCTCAGGACGGCTAAACGAAAGCAGAGTGCTGCTGGTGCCATGCTTCGACTTACTTGCCTGTGATTGGCTGGTTAGACATCGACGAGCTCGCTAGCCAATAGGAGGGTATAGAGTGAATAGAAGTGCGCTAAGTTTAACTTTAGAGTTCAGAATAATCGATATCATGGGTACGGGGAGGGGAAAAGGTGATCTTTCCCGAGAAAACGGCTTCATAGCGGGACTTAAAGAAGCATTGGAACACAATAATGCAAAATTATATTCTGTATATATAACGTGTTAATCTTTAGAGAACATTATGTGCAACATGGACGAATTTTATGATACTTATAGCAAATAAGGTCTTCTTCTCGTCATATCTATGCTTTTTATTATCTGTGACAATCACGGTGGTGCTGTTTTTGGAATAAGCTGCCTGCTAACCGGAGATCAGTTACATCTGTGACTAAAAATAGACTCAACATCTTTTTAAAAAAATGTTATATTTTGCTGTCACTGCCTTAATGCGTTGTAAAACTACATAGGTATTTTTGTCTTTTGTGTTAAGCACATTGAGTTTACACAGAATGACATATGCTGCATAAAGCTGTTGCCAATTCCAGTTAAATCTGGCAAAATATCTGTCTGTTTTTGTATACTATCAGCTTAGAGCATTACAGTATAAAGTCGGGAGAAATCAAATATCACTGAAATACACTGAAAACTATTGTAATTTTTTGCTTTAATAATATGCTGACATTTGACATTTACTGAAGTCATGAATCCCCCGTCCCACAAACTTAAAGGCCCATTTCAGTTTCCAGTCCAACGCAACCATGTGGTTGTTCACATTAGTGGAGGACTTGATTGTTGTTCTAATAATAGCATGTAGAAACTTGTAGAAAGATTTTTCCAGATCTGTGCAAATCTATTCCTCTGCAAGGCTTAAGATGCTTCCTTCAGGTGTTTATTTAAAACAAACAGACACTACCTTAACCGTAAAGCAGAGTGGACGCAGCATCAAGTCAGTGATATGTTTTGGCTACAGGATTTAAAAATAAATAAATAAATAAATCAAAAATGGGTTTTCCCAATAAACATAATCCCAAACGTACTTCTAAAACTGTGGCAAAATGTTTTGAGGTTAACATATTGAAGTGGCTGTAAAGGCCTGGCTTGAAGGCAAGAGAAGATTTGGGGTGATTGTTGACCAGCATTGTGCTAGTACTACTGTTGGCTGCAGACGGACGAGGAGGAGAAGAAGGGGAAGGCATGTTCGGAGGTGGCGAGAAAGAAGGATTGTGGAGCTGAGAGTAGGGATTTTGAATGTAGGGACTAAGACTTTCTGATATGATGGACGTAGTTAAGGAGGACAAGCAGAGAGTTGGTTTTAGAGCAGGGGTGGGCAACTCCAGGTCTCGAGGGCCAGTGTCCCTGCAGGTTTTAGATGTGTCCTTGAACCAACACGGCTGATTTAAATGGTTAAATTAGCTCCTCAACATGTCCTGAAGTTATCCAGAGGCCTGGTAATGAACTAATCACTAATGTGGGGCGATCTTGGCTCAAGAGTTTGGTGTTCGCCTTGTAATCGGAAGGTTGCCGGTCTCGGTCGTTGTGTCCTTGGGCAAGACACTTTACCCGTTGCCTACTGGTGGTGGTCAGAGGGCCCGGTGGCGCCAGTGTCCGGCAGCCTCACCTATGCCAGTGCGCCCCAAGGTGGCTGTGGCTACAATGTAGCTTGCCATCACCAGTGTGTGAATGTGTGTGTGAATGGGTGGATGACTGGATGTGTAAAGCGCTTTGGGGTCTTTATGGACTAGTAAAGCGCTATACAAATACAGGCCATTTACCAATCACGTGATTCAGGTGTGTTGACCCAAGGTGAGATCTAAAACCTGCAGGACACTGGAATTGCCCACCCTTGTTTTAGAGAAAGGATGCAAGAAATGCAAGAAAGGGAGGGATGGAGGCGGATAATTCGCTGTAGCGAGCCCTACTGGGAGCGACTGAAACATGCAATCAAAAATGTGCAAGCGATTTGGATTAATGAGACTTGTAGTGCTTTAAAGGATCAGACTAATCAGCAAGGGACTATGATATATATATAAGTATCAGTCCAACAGAGTTCATTAAACTCTCAGAAAAAAAGGACCAATTATAAAAACTGTAAGCCAAAAAAAAAAAAAAGTGAAACAAGTTGCAAAATAAAAAAAAAAAATCCTTTAATTACTTTTTACTTTTTGAAATGAGTACATTTGTGCAGCTGGAAACAAATGTGTACTTCTTGAAAACATCAGTTCATCCAGACTTTTGACATAGTCTTGACATATTTACATCAACAGCGTTATTTTCCTAGTGCGGGGAACATTGGCATAACTGATTAAAACAAGATATATGATGAAAAATGATCATAGCATTCTTCTCTGGGTAAAAATATATCACTTTATCTCATGTGATTTGGTATCACATTTCTTCTGTCACTGATGTGGTCAGTGTTTATGGACCACTGCAGCTAGCTGATGAGTGCTCTATTTTCACACTGTAACATAAATGTAAATAAGTGATCAATGCTCTTTAAAAAAAAAAGCATAGACTTATACATCTTTGCTCATTCTTGGCCTCCGGTAAGTTTATGGAACAGTTCTTCATTCTGTGTTTCATTCTGGTCTTTAGATCGCGTGGAGAGGAAGATGTAACCACCGATGAACTCGTGGACTACCTTGCAGTCACAGCTCACACAGGAGAAGGCTATTGACACATGTTGATCAAATTCTATGGCCACCTGTAATTACATACAAGAGATTCAGGATTTAAAGTAATGCTGTCTGTAGATAATACACCAGAAATGTCCTGAATGAAGGAAGAAAAAAAAAACAATCCCTCACCTGTCTTATCTCCCAGTTGACATTCCACTGCTTCATGTTGGCGAATCTCCATGTGGTGACAGGCAGCCCAGTGGACATGTCAATACGAATCATGCGGTTATATGAAATCCCAAGAATTTCATCCTTCTTACTCCCTTTGAATCTGAATGATTGAAAAATAAGCAAAAGGAAAATCTCTTGGATTATCATTCATAAATGACATTGAACGTCTATTATATCAGTCCTTTCACCGTACCTGACAATGTAGTATTTGATACCAAACTCTGGGAGTGATTGCCATGCTTGGATGAAGCGCATCTTGGCCTCCACCAGGGACAGCTGTGCTATGTTTTGGTGTGCCTCGAGGATACGTGCGGTCAGCTTGATGCAGAAATCAAAGGCAAATTAAATAATAATACTTAAAAAAAAAAGATAGCTGTCGGCAAAGTAAAATATGACGAACCTAAGACAAACCTGTTTGGTCTTGTGTTTCTTTGCGTATCGTGGCGAAACAAAACACTCGGCGTTCATATCCATCGCTTCGACGTCAGGAGCTGATTGACCAGGAGGGGGCGCCAGGTTCTTCATTTGCAGAAAAGATTGAATGTGCTTCACTTCTGTTTTGTAAGAGCTGTACGCCATTGTCTTGCCTTTGGAAGCGAGGACACATGCAGCTTTCCACTTAGCATACTGGGTTTCCTGGTCCAAAGGGAAGGAATAGAATAACAAGGTGTAAAGTTTGCTTCAAATTTCTCATGTTTATATACACAAATATACACAAGGCATTCGTTTTAAAATAAAGAAGACTTACTGGTATTGACAGAAAAAAAGCACAAAATCTCAAAAAGTAAAGATTTTGCTTTGAAAACATTCTCTTTACTTATATGAATGATAAGGTGGGGCTTACATTGTCACATCGGATGTACACCTCATTCATTCCATCAGCCACTGGCAGCAGAAGCTTGATGCCGAACTTCTTTTCAGTTACATTGACATCAGGGACCACCTCACAGCCTGGGAATCAAGAAGAGGAGATGGTAATATAAGAATGGATACAACAGATCTCTAACAGAATATTGTCACAGAATATAACTGCTGTCTTTGTGGCAGCTTAAAAATGTATATTAAAGAATTACATTTTAAATCTCAATTTCAGCTTAGGCTGCTGCCCCCGCGACCCGGCCCCGGACAAAGCGGATGAAGATGGATGGATGGATGGAATTTCACATCATATATGAAATGATCAGAATACTTTGGTTCTCTGTTTTTCTAGCCTTTGAGGGGAAATGATCATTCTCATTTGGTTCTCAGTGGGAGACTAACCTTTTTTTCCCCCAGCTATGTATTTTTAGTGCTTGTCTCTATTAATGTAGCTTTGCATATTCATACTTTAACATAATTCTTTCTCATCTTATACTGGGTCTTTGCAGCTCTTCAGTTCATCCACAACTGGTTTTAGCTCCTCTCATTCCCTCCTTTTCTTCTACTGACTGGCTGCTCCTTGTAAACAGAAGATTTGAACAGCCATGTGCTAGCTATGTACCTCTGTGACCATAATAAACTAACATCTGCTCTTACTGAAATCATTACCAACAGCAATTTCAATTAAATTTCATCTCAAATTTATTTATATAGCACTAAATTACAAAAAAACAGTCCCCCCAAGGTGCTTTGTATTGTAAGATAAAGCCCCTAGAGTAAAGAAGGTTTTGGGGAATCCTGTTAACTGTTAATTTTGTATGCCACATGCCAGAATAAAGTCCAGAGAGTTATAAAAATGGTGGGTGGGCTTATCTACATTTTGACAGAAGCCATTGATTCTAATAACAGATTAAATGCAGTGTTTATGATGTCACGTAGATCGTGTTGTTCTCAGCAGCTACATAAATGTTAAAATCCCCCACTATGTTATTTTATGAAAGCAGAGCACAAAATCAGATAAAAACTCAAAGAATTTAGAAAGAAACTGTATAAGGGCCAGGAGGACTGTAGTTATGACAAATAAAACAGTTTTTCTGTGTGTGTTATTTTTTGTTTTCTAATTATGATTTACAAAGCTAAGAGTCAGGCTTTCAAATTAATTAAAACTGACTGGTTCTTTTGTTGATTAACAAGCCGGATTGGCAGATTGCTGCCAGTTCTCCTCCTCGGCCTGTGCTTTAAGGATTCTGACAATTAGTATGACTTGGCGGTGTTGTCATTTAAACTACCATATT